CGTATATATATAATATATATATATATGTATTATATATATATATATATATAGATATAGATATATATATATATATATATATATATATATATAACTACTACAGCCACATTTACGAAGGAGAAATACTTGTATAGTCATATGGAGCGTCACTCGTATACTTCAAGCAATTTTATAACACGCACTTTAAGTCGCTGTTCTTGTCGATACTCTGCATGAAGAAAAAAACTGCGGAGAGAACCTGATCAGATAGTTTGATATCACTGGGTTATTGAATTTGCCTTTGTGCTACGAACGTTGTCTCCAACTTGCTGCACTCGGATCTTTGGCTTTCACCGGTGCATGTGAAATGCTGTAGAGGCAAACATTGCTGTGTAAGCCGGCGAGCAAAATGTGGTATCCGGAGCATTGTAAGAATATACTCTGATGTGTTTTATGCCGCTGATACTGTCCGACATAGTCGAATTTTGACATGTGGATGCTTATGTCTCTAGGGGATCGTTCGCTATAGTACTGCGATTTTTAAAAGCAACGATTCACGCGAGTATCAAGCGTTATTCAGGGCAGGCAATGCCTTTGATTCACCCGTGTTTGGGTGTGTTTGAGACGCTCAAATTTTAAACGTGACGGCGAATCGGGATAAAGTTAATGCTAGGATTATGGTTCAGATATCGCTCCAGGGAACGACCGAACTATTCAATTTATGCGGTTTTGTCTTTTGTGTACTCTCGTATGTCCGTGAGCGGGCAATGTGCTTCTGTGGTCACGGAACGCACAAACAGTCTGGCGCTACACGTGGCGTGGTCTTAGCGTGAACACGCAGCCAGCCCTCGATCACCGCCGCAATCTAGCACCACTCCTCAAGACGACGTAGTGTTAGAAACTACCATCAACCGGAGATTACCGCGGTGAAATGTGGTATATTTGCGATGCTTGTTGACATTGCTTACCGTGTGCCGCACGTACTAACGTCTGCTTCATCGTCGATGCGTTGAACTCCCAGGGGCAAGGTATCACATAAACGATGAGACGCACATTACCATACGGACCCATCACACACTAGAAGAGTGGCAGGCAGTGTTAAGGGTAAGTTTCGCGCACTCCGTGCACCGACCTTTAAATGGAAGTGCGCATGCAATCGGAAACTTGCTATGCTATCACTATTTCGTATTGACCTGCACGTCTCAATCTATGGTATATCAGCACAAGTCCAAATCCACGATAATAAACCCATGCCAAACACACGGCCACGGTCATGATCACTCGAAAAGGTGCGAGATGCATCCCAAGTATCTGGCTATTCCCGAGGGCTCTTCATTTTTCTTTTGTTCTAGTTTCGTTGATGTTTCGTTATGCTATATTGCGCAGCATATTTAACTTGGTCTTCGTTGACTGCAGACACCACACCTGTCGGCGTACGTCACATCTCCCCTGGGAGCTGAAACTATTCCTCTGGTCGGAATACACAGTAACCACATCGACGGTACTACTCTTACTCGGCCGATGTCTCAATTCCATGTGCAAGTATGTCAGTGAATAGGATACTGAAAAGATACTAACTTGTGACTTCTTTTTCAAAGATTGTGTATATGTTTGCACGAACCAAACCTCCAGGTCCGCATTTTCACGAGAGCAATGCTCACTCCAGCAGTTCACAGCTTCTCTACATGTATTAGCTACATAATGTTGCCAGTTCGTGCCCGCATGTGGCCCGGTGTGTGATGAATTCACGTTATATATTTCAAGCCATTGGCTCGAAGCACAGCTACTGACATAGACCGTTTTTAGTGTTTAGTGAAAACACCTTCAATCGGAGGAACAACCCAACCTTCAAGCTTGAGGTATAAGGCTAGATCATGAGTTCGCCGCACATTTTATTACCATCTCGTCCTGCCGAAACGGTTCGCGTACTCTCCGCAGGTGAACATATTCAAAAAAAAACTCTCGCACTAAACTTAACTTTCGAGTCATATATGCCTGGCAGATTGCGCCGTCCAGGAAGGAAGTGGGTCTGTTCTTAGAGCATAAAACAAGAACAAATCCTGTGACCGACGACGCTGCCATAGCCAAGACACTCCCGCGGATCAACTTTATCGGAGCTTTCAAGGCAAGATTAAACGGACACGAACCGACGTTTAATATCTCTTTTATCATCTCGGGTGTGATACCATAAGCCGAGAGATGTAACTTCACGGGAGGCGGGGGGAATTAGCGTGCAGTTTCTCAAAGAGATCGCACGAACGTATCGGAAGGAAAAGAAAAATTAGTAAAACACTACCTATTCATAAGGTGTCGTGCTGTTGGATTGATTTGTTTATTTTGAGATGATTCTTCGGGGTGTAGGTAAATACGTACCCTAATGAAATAATTTGTGTTACTGCAACTACTATCTGTTGCCGTGGTAGATTACTTTGCCTGATTCTAGCGAAAGCGTTCATAGGTCACGTCGAAGCTGGTTGAAAACATCACACCATGTGAACACATAGCTACATACGGTATTCAACTGCAACATGTTGGTCACTGTCACGAAACTGTTCAGAAACAACCACGTGACCGGAGGAATCCAAAATAGCTCAAGTTGGCAAAAATCACAACCTTACGCGAGCCTGTAAGACATTACAACACAGGTAATGTACAACCCCGCCCAATGCAATTACAACACATTCTTCGCGCGTGTATTGATGTTAGAAACATCTGTGTATTCCGTGCAAATACTATATAATCAGCTATTATTATTGGTCAGTGGTGTGTAACTCTGGTGGCAAGTGCGCCACGACAGTTTTGCATTAGGCTGTATGTGAGCATCTATGTACACACACACACACGTATG